AGTGTCATCTTTGCATCACCTTTATAAATGAGAGGAAAGGTGAAAGAATGGTTGGTGATGTACAAAGTAAATCAATTGAAGTAAGGTAAGGTATATATATATATACAGTAAATATTTCAAGAACAATGATTTTCAATGCTTTTGGGGATTTTCCCCCAAATTTTTAAATACTTTTTACTAAATCAAATTTACAAAAAGAGCATTTAAGTCATACTGTATGTAACAAAAAAAAAAAAAAAGCTGCCAAAACAAAAAATAAAATATCAAAATTTTAAAATGATACAAAAAGTGCAAAAAAAAAAAAGGTTTTCACTTTAAGATGCACAGATCTATTCTGACATACAATATATATATTTTATCGCGCCCGTCGCTGTCAATCATCACATTTTTGGATTCAATTCCACACTTAAAGAGACAGTTCACCCCCACAAAAAAGTTTCTGGTCCCCACTGACATCCATTGCATTTTTTTTCATACTATGGACGTCAATGGGGACCAGCAACTGTTCAATTCTCACATTCTATAAAATATCTTCCTTTGTGTTCAGCAGAAAAAAAAAAAAAACTTTCAAAAAGGTTTGAAACAACTTAAGGGTGATTAAATGATGACCATTTTCGTTTTTGGGTTAACTATCCCTTTAAATTCGGCTGTCAATCCAGAACCTTTGCAGTGTGTAGAACTGTAGCACTCGTAGAAAACGAGCAAAGAAAGCTTCCTTTAAAATCACTGAAGCTGTCGATCACTTCAACGTGAGTTCAATGAGCTTAAAACCTGTTATGATCAATGAAATCTATAACGCATCCAATTTACATCGAATTCCTTTGTGTTTTTCCTGTCACATGTTTTGTCTTCAGGTGAGGTGGGCGACTGGAAGAATCATTTTTCCGATGCCCAGAGCAAACAGATGGATGAGCTTTTCCAAGCCAAACTAGCTGGAACAAATCTCGGAGCCAGACTGAAGTATGACCTTTACTGCCAATAAATGTGGCGGCACGGCGAGAGCCGATGGACAGGATTTACTGTCATTCACACGGGCAGCTGTTTAATCGCTTTCATCGTTTGCGTTTTGCTACATTACATTGTTTACAATAAGCACAAAAACCTCACTGTCATTAAACCCCATGCTGTGTATATGCTAACATTTATTAAAAAAAAGATGTCAACACTATTTCATTCTCTGTCAGAAATATCTATTGCAAATGTTCACCACTAGTCGCCGATGGACAGAGAAACTGTTCACTTCATAGGGATTTACTGTCATTCACACGGGCAGCTGTTTAATCGCTTTCATCGTTTGCATTTTGCTACATTACATTGTTTACAATAAGCACAAAAACCTCACTGTCATTAAACCCCATGCTGTGTATATGCTAACATTTATTTAAAAAAAAAAGATGTCAACACTATTTCATTCTCTGTCAGAAATATCTATTGCAAATGTTCACCACTAGTCAGTGCAATAGTTCAATCCCATGAACCTCCCCTGTAACACACCATAATGATTTTAAACTGGGCTCACAGAGATCAGGAAAAAAATGATGCTAAATGCAAATAATAAAATGCAAGCAACCGTATAATGGTGCATATTTAGGACAGCAAAATAAAAAGAATTATCACTTTTAAAAAGGAAGTAAAAAACACTTTCATATTTTTTTTATTGTTGATGTCAAATGTTTTGTGTCCAAGCAATAAATTCATCCATCATTTGGTAGAAGCTTGTGAAATTAGGCGGATATCAATGTGGACAGGATGTGTGACCTCAAAAACGTCCTGAAAAACCAACAAAACTACATGAGAATTAAGAAAATAATTTTTTTTCAAATTTATTATTTTAGTGTTATTTTAGTATCATTAAGATATTATTAGTTTTCATTAATATTTTTAATCAGTTTAATATTTTTCATTTTAGTTAAAGTTTTAGTGATTTTGTCGTGTTTTGTTGTTTTTAATAGTTTTTCTTCTTTTTTTTGTTTTTTAAATGTCTATTTAGTTTTTTATACATTTTTATTTCAGTTTGAGTTATTTTACTACATTAAGGTAAACTACATTAAAATGAGAAATGAAACTAGCTTAAAAAAAGTTTTTAGTTTTTTATATTATTATATTTATTTTATATTATCATTATTATTATTATTAATTTTTTCATTTTACTATTATTTTATATTAATAATATTTATTTTTATTTTTTATTTTTTTTTTAGTTAATGTTTATTTAATTTATTTATTTTATTAAATATTTAATTTATAAAAACATTTATGGTCGGCAGCGAGGATAAATATGGTTCCTTTTTATTTTTAAACCAATTTTTGTCAAAAAGGACATTAAGAATCACAGCTGATAACACTTTTGGTTCATTAGATCGCACTGGAAATGGAAGGTCACGTCGGGTGCATTGCATTGTGGGAATGCAATTCATTTGGGCAGTTAGAGTTTGTAATTAGTACTGTATAATCCATCCATTAGGCCAATTTGCACGCTGTGCATATTGTGCATATTGTAAAATATTATGACTAGTATGCTATTCTTAACATAGCCATGCTGTTAGACTCGTCAGGAGAATCCCATCATTCCTAATGAAGTCTAATTACAGCCGTGATGATGTGAACAGCAGATGACCCCTACATGAACAGCACATCCTGGAAACGTTACGGAGTTTTTCTTGTCAAAACAAGACGATCAGTGAGGAAATGCAGAAAAGCGCTCATATCCGACCAGCATCAATCAAACTCTAATTGAATCTGCTTCAGACCAATGCCACCAAAAAAAGGAACACGAAGGCCACATGTGAATCTAAACAGCCCTGTGGTCCATTTAAGCGGCATATTAAAACTATAGATTGCTACAAAGTCTACAAGGAGAAAAACACTGTGACCTCTGGCTCAGTGGTTTTATAACGGCAGTAAAACAGCTGATGTGGGTTTAGTTGCAGACAGATATGGAGCAGATGTATTTTAGCACTATTGGGATTGATAAACACTGGTATGATTGATTGAAATGTGAATGTGACATCAGTTATTCCTGTAACTGGCTCTTCTTACATCAAATCCTGGTAGAAAAACCACCATGCATTAACATGCACTGCTCTCAAATAGCGTCAAATCAAACTAATTTCATAAACTTTCCCAGCAACAATTTTTGATTTTGTTAATATTTTTGACGAAAAATATTGATATTATAGTGACGAAAGCCAAAATATTAAATGCAATGCATTATTTTGTAGAAAGGGTCAACGTGAGATTTGGAGCCATATTACAGGGGGGTAAAAATGACTTCAGAAAGATGGCAGCATTATTAAATTATTTTTACACAGAGGCTGGTAGGTACAGTATATTAGTCAAATCTGTTGACTTTAACTCTTTGGTGCATTATATGCCTATGGTGACCGTTCAAAAATGGGAAGATGCACTTTTCGAGTTTATTTTGCAAAGTTTGCATGCCTTTAACTCAAGAACTGACTTTATTCACTAAATATACATCCACGGCGTTTCATATTTTGGCTTTCTACTTCATTTATGCATTTCTTTCACCAGAAAAAAATACATAAATATCAGAATCACAGAATGAACCAACAGCACTTTGAATCAAACGTTTGAGGATTTTTGTAATGTTTTTGTCTCTTCTGCTCACCAAGGCTGCATTTATTTGATCGAAAATACAGTAAAAAGTAATATTGTGAAATATTATTACAATTTAAAATAGCAGTTTTGTATGTGAATATATCTCTCAAATAGCGTCAAATCAAACTAATTTCATAAACTTTCCCAGCAACAATTTTTGATTTTGTTAATATTTTTGACGAAAAATATTGATATTATAGTGACGAAAGCCAAAATATTAAATGCAATGCATTATTTTGTAGAAAGGGTCAACGTGAGATTTGGAGCCATATTACAGGGGGGTAAAAATGACTTCAGAAAGATGGCAGCATTATTAAATTATTTTTACACAGAGGCTGGTAGGTACAGTATATTAGTCAAATCTGTTGACTTTAACTCTTTGGTGCATTATATGCCTATGGTGACCGTTCAAAAATGGGAAGATGCACTTTTCGAGTTTATTTTGCAAAGTTTGCATGCCTTTAACTCAAGAACTGACTTTATTCAGTAAATATACATCCACGGCGTTTCATATTTTGGCTTTCTACTTCATTTACGCATTTCTTTCACCAGAAAAAAATATATAAATATCAGAATCACAGAATGAATCAACAGCACTTTGAATCAAAAGTTTGGGGATTTTTGTAATGTTTTTAGTCTCTTCTGCTCACCAAGGCTGCATTTATTTGATTGAAAATACAGTAAAAAGTAATATTGTGAAATATTATTACAATTTAAAATAGCAGTTTTGTATGTGAATATATGTTAAACTGTAATTTATTTCTGTGATCAAAGCTGTATTTTCAGCATATAACTTATTATCGAATAATCACTTACTTTTGTAATTAGCAGTGCCTCCAAAGGCAATACTCTTCACACAACTCAAGCCAAGCACTACTCACTTTTTTTTTTTCTTTTAGAAAAAATAAAAGTCTGGCTTTATTTAAATTACCAACATTGGTTGTAAGTAAAGGCAAAACAATATCTTGTCTGACAAATATATATTTATACTATTGTTCAAATGGTGGGTGTCTGTAAGAAGTCACCAAGGGTGTATTTATTTGTTAAAAATACAGTAAAAAAAGTAATATTGTGAAATATTATTACAATTTAAAATAGCAGTTTTGTATGTGAATATCTGTTAAACTGTAATTTATTTCTGTGATGCGCAGCTGTATTTTCAGCATCATTACTCCAGTCTTCAGAGTCACATGATCTTCAGAAATCATTCTAATATGCTGATCTGCCGGAAACAATGATATATTTTATTTTCAATATTCTTTGATGAATAGAAAGTTGAAAAGAACAGCATTTATTTGAAATCTTTTGTAACATTATAAATGTCTTTACTGTCACTTTTGATCAATTTAATGCGTCCTTGTTGGATAAAATAATCCCCCTTCCCTTTTTTTTAAAAATCTTATTTTATTGTACTTACCCCAATCAACTGTTTTCAACATTGATAATAATCAGAAATGTTTATTGAGTAGAAAATCAGCATATTAGAATGATTTCTGAAGATCATGTGACACTGAAGACTGCAGTAATGATGCTGAAAATACAGCTGCGCATCACAGAAATAAATTACATTT